AGAGAGAGAGAGAGAGAGAGAGAGAGAGGGAGAGGTAAAGTGAGAAAGCAAGCCACCAGGTCTGGGACTTGAACCATAGTTGGCCCGGTGGGAGTCCAGTGCCTTAACTATAATGCCACCTGCTCTTCCCTCTCTGTTTTTCTTTCTTTTTTTGCCAGAGAGTGAGTACACTAGCTATACTCTCTCTCATTAGAGAGAGAAAGAGAAAGTAAGAAAACACTCCCCAAACCCTATGGGAGATAGTCATGCCACAACCCCTTCCTCATTTCTCCTTTTGGAATTTCGGGCTCACACACACATAGCAGTGTGCGTGTGTATGTGTGTGTGTGTATATATATTTAGATTATATTTATTCATTTGTTTTAATTGGATGAAAGGGACAGAGAGAAGTAGAGGGGGGAAAGTGAGAAAGCAAGCCACCAGGTCTGGGACTTGAACTGTGGTTGGCCCCTATACCGGCATATTTTCTAAACTGCTAGGTCTGGGACTTAGACAGCTCAGTCAACTGAAGATTCAGCCTCCTTAATCATCGTACCAGTGGCTGACCTGGGATTAATTTCTGAGAGAGAAGAGAGTATTCGTTTGTTTTTCATTGTAAATTGTTCTAAGTATAGAGCAAAGAGTAAAAAAAAAAAAGTTTTGTTTAATTGATTCTAAGATACACAATTTTTCTGTCATTTAAACAACTTAAAAATCTGTATGTAGGGCCATTAGATAGCATAGTGGTTACATTGCTGGACCCCCACATGGCTGGCTATGGTTTGAGTCCTTGACCGGTGGTTTGAAATTCATACTGGGCACATTGTGTGTGTGCCCAGGATCCCAGGAAGAGATTAGAGAAGGGATTGTGGCATGGACATCCCCCCAAGGGGTGATTTTCCACTTTCCCTCTCACTGTGTCTATCTCTTTCTCTCCAGCAGCACACACACCCTAAGGCAAAAACTTCTTTAAAAAAAAGTTGTATGTGACTTCCAGTGTTGTCCTTAGATTTGATGAAATATGGTAATAATCACTTAATGTACCCACCATCCAGATCGAATAGATTGGCATTTGCCTATTTACTTTAGAATCTTTTTTTTAATTTTAGATGAAACAACACAACTGTGTGGTTAAAAACATCCTCTGTTGGGGTCAGCAGGTGACAGAGTGGTTAAGGGCTAACTACCACAAGGCCAATCACAGTTCAAGTCCAAGACCAGGCAGTTTGAAAATCATGCGGGGTGTGCACGTGCACTGAAAATCTTGAGAAGACAATGGAGGAAAAGGGATTGCAACATGGCCACCTTTCCCCCTACCCCAAGTGACTTCTCTCTTTTTCTCTCTCTGACAAGTACACAAACCCTATGGCAAAAACCTAAAAAAAAAAAAAACAAAAAAAAATCCTCTGTCCTTTTTTCTTTTTGGTAAGATTTGAAAAAAATCAAATCTTTGGGGGCCAGCAGGTGGCGTGGTGGTTGGGGCACTTGACTCCCACATGGCCGACCATGGTTCAAGTCCCAGACATGATAGCTAGCTTTCTCTCTCTCTTTCTCTTTAGACAAATTGAATAATAATAATAATAAATAAAATGAAATAAATTTGAAAAATCTTTGAATATTAAAACTGGAGCATTGGTCTTATCTTGTCCGATTTGATTAATTTATTGAAACAAAGTCTGTTGTTTTTTCATTTATAGCTTTGTGGATTATGGCGGCAAAATGGGAAATGGAAGATCGCTTATCTTCAGAAAGTGCGAGACAGCTATTTCTTCGGGCTCTGCGCTTTCATCCAGAATGTCCAAAACTTTATCAGGAAGTAAGTGTTGTCTACCTAGGATGAGAGAGAGATGTTTCAGTTTGGTCCTCTGGAGACTTACTGTTAGTCTGGCCCTGTGGTGCAGTAGAAGGGAGCTAGATCTCACATGGCCTGTTATGGTTTGAATCCCATGACCATGTCCCATAGGGGGGTGATTTCTCGCTTTCTGTCTGTCTCTCTCTGTCTCTCTGGTGAACGCAGTCATCCTATAGCAAACATCTCTCTCTGCGGATGAGTTGGTGGTATAGTGGTTAAGGTGCTGGACACTCCCGCATGGCCTGCCACAGTTCAGGTCCTGGACCTGGTGGCTTGCTTTCTCACTTTCCCTCTTTCTCTCCCTATTTCTCTCTGTGTGTGTGTCTTTCTCTGGTCAAATTAAAATAAATGAGTACATAAATAAAATTAAATAAAAAATAATTCTTAAAACAAAACTCTTAAAAAAAAAAAAAAAAGGAGTAGAAGAATTGGTCCTGGCCAGCAGGTGGTGAGGTGGTTAAGGCAGTGGATCCCACATGGCCAACTCAGTGGTTGAGTCCTGGACCTGGCAGCTTGAGAAACATGCTGGTGTGTGTGTGTGTGACCCGGATTCCTAGGGAGAATGGAAGAGAAGGGTTACAGCCTGGCCATCCCCTAGAAGAGATTTGTCACTTTCCCTCTCTCTCTGGCTATATCTCTGACTCTTGTCTGGTGAATGCATGTGTCCTATCAAGAAAAATTAAAAAAAAAAAAATGTATTTTTATTTTTCATTTATTCATTTTTTCTTTGTTTTAAAATATTTTTGTTTTTAATTAATTAATTAATATTCATTCATTGAGCATTGTCAGAGCATACAAAATGTGATTTTCCACCCAGAATATTCTGCATAGTGGCTTATTCATACATTTTGTGTTTTAAAGAATTATTTTATTTAACTGTATTTATTTATTTTAATTTGACCAGAGATAGACGGAGTGAGAAAGAGAGATGTGGGCGAAGGGAAGTGAGAAAGCAAAAGCCACCGCCAGGTGGGAGTCCAGCACTCTTAACCACCACACCACCTGTGGGCCCCTTAATCATACTTTTTATCATCAATAATTTTCCATTTTTTGAATAGTAATCTCAGCTGGTATATACATATCTATGAATACATATCTGACTTTACTCCTGAAATTCTCAGTAGGATGGATATACTATAAGGTAGCACCTAGCTGATGATATAGCTTACTATGATCGTTAATTATTTCTTTTTTACTATATTTTAACTTCAAGAAAAGCAGTTTCAGCTTTAATAAATCAAAGAAATGCTAAGGAACTATGTTTAAACTTAAAGCCAGGAAACAGGTTGGGATTCTGTTCAAATAGTAGGTACATGAACCTATCAACAGCTCAAGACAGGACAAAAATCCTTAAAACTGGGAAACAAAGCCTAGAAGCAAATCAGCAATGTTTTAGTCAAAAGTCATAAAATGCTATTTCACCAGTCCAGTCTCATGTACTTTATCTTCTGTTGTGGTCCAATCTTCCTGATAATATTCTAGGATATAATATTCAACTCCAGACTTGTCCCCATGATTAAGTTGGCCATTTTCTTAGTTTTTGAACTCTTCTGTGTGAATGTATTTAATTTTCCTGGTATAGCACTCCCTGCAGAACTTCTTGGAGATCTGATCTGGTGTTGGTAAATTCTTTCAGGTTTTGTTTATCTGAGAATGTTCTTGTCTTCCCATATGAAAGATAATCTTGCCGGGTACAGTATTCTTGGTTGAAATTGCTTTTCCCTTAACACTTTGAATATATTTTCCCATTCTTTCCTCACTCGCATTGTTTCTGACAATGGGTCAGAAACAATGGGATATCCTTTGTAGGTAAGTTGACATTTCTCTCTTGCCAGTCTTAGTACCTTGTCTTTGTCTGTGGTTTTGGTTAATCTGGCTATAATGTGTCTTGGAGATGATCTTGGGTTGGTTCTATTTGGGGTCCTTTGTATTTCTTGGGACTGGATCTTTGAATGCCTCTCTAGGTTTGGAAAGTTTTCTTCCAGGATTTCATGGAACAGATGGTCAATGCCCTTATGAGTCTCTTCCCCTTCTGGGATACTAACTAATTATCTGGATGTTTGGATATTTGATGGTATCTAGTATTTTTCATATATTATTTTCTCAGTCTTCATGATGGATTTTTCTAGGCCAGGGATTCTGTCTTCTACATCTGAGATTCTATTTTCTGTATGATCTAGTCTGCTTTTAATACTTTCAAGGGAGGTTTTGACTACCTGTATTATAGTCTTCATCTCTAAGAGGTCCATTTGATTCTTTTTTATAGTGTGAATTTCCTCTTTTGGATCTTTCAAGAATTCTCTCACCTCTGGGAACTCGTCAGCTTCTTTCTCCTGCCTCTTTGGCAGTCCATTGTCTCTCTTCTCTTTGATCTCTGTGAGTTTTGTCACCATGAGAATTCTAAATTCTTTATCCGACATTTCCATGAGTTTTATTGTACTGTTTGAGGATGAAGAGGAATCATTATTTTTCCTTGGAGGAGAGGTATTTTCTTGTTTTTCCATATTTCTTATGACCCTGCAGTGATTTCTAGTCCTCTGATGGATGGCGTGTTTCTCCCTAATTCTTGAAGTTCAATCTGAGCATTCAGAGGCATGCAGGAGGAGGTGATCTGCAGTCTCTCTTCCGTTTCATTCTCACTCTTTGTGCATCAGACTCAGTGGGGATAGAGGAATATTCTGACCTTAATCGTATTCAGATGTTTAGATCCTGTTCACTCGGACCTGTCTAGACAATTAGTGTGTAGGAGCTGAGAAGCCAGTGGATAAAGAAAAAGGAAAAGAATTAGAGAAGAGGAAAGAAGAGGGAAATATAAAAAGTAGAAAAAAGATAATTTAAAAAACTTTAGATCTTAATTTTACAAAGTAAAAATTGAAAACTGCGCGGCACGCAGTGCACCGTGTAAACATGATATTTCGCAGCTGAAGTTCAGGATCCATGTGAAGATGGGCCCGGATTTGTGCCTTTCTAGAAGTGACTGTGGAGTGGGGAAGTCTCAGCAGAAAAAAATCTTCATCTTAAGTCCCTGAAAGCAATATTTCACAGCTGAAGTTCAAGATCCATGTCCAGAAAAATCTTTAAAAAAAAAAAGTACTGATGTTAACTATTTTTAGCTGGAGAACTGGTTTTAACACCCATATCACCTTTGTCTATTTCTCTCTTCTCTTTTTTGTCGCTCCTTTAGATATTTTGTTAGAACTTCTTTTCTTCTTGGAGGACTTACTGCCTCTTACAAGGGTACACTAGAAATCAGTGATTAGACTTTTGATTGAAAAAGCACCCTACCCAAAAAGGAAATAAAAAGCCTCAGATGCTAGAAATGTTACTGATAATTGTAACTTTTAGAAGCATTTTTCAGGATAGGGGAGAATCTGCTAAGCCTTGTTTGATGAATGGGAAGAGATATGTGTCTTCATTCAAATGGGTCCTGTAGTTGTTCCAAGTGTAGTTTTGGTCTTGGAGTAACTTAATGACGTGTTTACATTGTGTCTCTCCCTTTTCATATTCAGTTAGCTATTCCTTTGCTGCCTTTATAGTTTTTTAAAGAAACTATTATAGGACTCCCCATTATTAGAGGATTATTTGTTGTTTTAGTTACAGTTTATATGCTTTTTGGAAGCTTTTTGAGCTGGATCACGTGGTTCAAATCCCAGCCCAAGTGGCTTGAAAAACATACTGGGTGTGTGCGTGCCCAGCATCCTGACAAGGTGGAGAAATAGAGAATGGATTGTGGTGTGACCACAATCAAAACTTGTCATTTTAATGCTTTGTAACATAGAATTCAAAGTATTAAAAAATACAAGCCAGATATGTGTACGTACATGCTCAGAATCTGACAGGAGAGAACTGGGTGAAGCAGAGAGTGTGGCACAGCTAGGCCCCGTTGGAGGTGCTCTCTCTCAGGCAAGCGCCTGTGTTCTCAGGTAATTCAGTGTCTGTGTCATCTTGATGTTGGCGTCTCTTAATTATCTTTTCTCATTCAGACTGAGATTTTCCTGGTATGATAAGTGATCTCTCTTTCTACTTTGCTCTAGGGCACGTGTGCTTGCTGGAGAGAGGCAGAGAGACAGAGAGGGAAAATAAGAATTCATGCCTGGGGAATGGTCATGCTACATTCTGTTCTCCATTCTCCTCTTGGGATTTTGGAGACACACACACACACACACACACACACACACACACCTGTCCAATGTGTTTTTTAAGCTGCTCAGTCCAGAACTTGAGCGGTATAGTTGGCCAGGTGGGATCTAGCTCTCTTAACTACCACTCCTCCTGCTGGCTTGGTTTATTTAGCTGTGAAGTGCTGGTCAAGGGTACAAGACGTTCTTAAAAAGTTTTTGGTTTGTATGTCCAAATTGCTTGTAAAAAGAGCATACAGTGGGGGCTGGCAGATGGCGTGGTGGTTAAGGGTGCTAGACTCCCACCTGACCCACTGTGGTTCAAGTCCCAGATCTGGTGGCTTGCTTTCTCACTTTCTCTCTCTCACTGTTCCTCTCTATTCCACTATCAATGTCAGTTAGTTTCATAATGAAATAAAATTTATTGTAATATTCCCTATAGTCTTTTTCTCAATCTGATATTTATGACTAAAAATGGCATTTTATACATTTCCAATAAAAAATTATCTCCAAAGAATTTGACTTCATTCTTTCCCTTCTATAGTATTTTAGGATGGAACTGATGAATACAGAAAAACTAAGAAAGGAAAAGCAAGAATTTGAAAGAGCCGACATGGAAATGGTAAGATATTAATGTCTTGTCATCTCTCTTTTTTTGTTTTTTCAAAGAATAATTTATTTAATTCCATTTGTTGTTGTTATTTTTTAATTTGACCAGAGAGAGACAGAAAGAGAAAGCAAATTGCCAGGTTCAGGACTCAAACTGTGGTTGACCATGTGGGAATCCAACACCTTTAGCTACCATGCCACCTGCTGGCTCCAATGCATTGTCATTTCTTCTTTTTTTTTTTTTAATAACTATTTTATTTTTTATTTATTCATTCATTGATTTTTAATTTGACTAGAGAGAGACAGAGGGTGAGAGTGAGAGAGAGGAAGCGAGAAAGCAAGCCACCAGGTCCAGGACTTGAATCCCAGTTGGCTATGTGGGAGTGTCCAGTGCCTTAACCACCACGTCACCTGTTGGTCCCCGCATTGTCACTTCTTAACAAAGTATTTTGAACTTACTTGGGAGTAAGATTAAGTCTTTAGAATATATTTTTCTTTTTAATAGTGTCACATTTTAAAACCTTAAGACGAGTATAGTGTTGATTTAGTTAAATGGACTTTGTAATAATGAAGTTTTATGCTTTAAAAATAGGCAATTGGGGTCAGCAGGTGATGTGGCAGTTAAGGCACTGGATTTCATATGGCCAACTATATGGTTTGAGTCCCTGACCCAGTGATTTGAAAATCACACTAAATATGTAACATGCATGCCTAAGAAAGATCCCAAGAGGAAAATGGAGGAGAAAGGATTGCAGTGTGGCCATCCACCCTTGAGAAGTGATTTCTCACCCTCTCCCATCTCCTGCCTGGTGAGCACAAGTGCCCTATAACAAAAATTATAAAAGATATTTGGATTAATTGAAGTGTTTTTCAAGATCATTACTGCTGACCAATGCTTTTTTTTCTTTCTTTTTTTTGGAAAGGTTTTTGCTATAGGACGTGTGTGCTCGCCAGACAGAGAGAGACAGAGAGACAGAAAGCGATAAATCACCCCCCAAGAGGGATGGCCACACTGCAATCCCTTCTCCTCCATTCTCCTCTCGGGATCTTGGGCACGCATGCACATGTGCCCGGGGTGAGTTTAAGCCACCGGGTCCGGGACTCAGACTGCGGTCAACTACGTGGGAGTCTAGTGACATAGCCATCACACTAATTGCTGGTCCCACCAATGCTCTTTTAAAAAAATATTATTTGTTTAATCTTATTTATTTAAAAAAATCTTAATTCCATTTGTTGTTGTTATTTTTTAATTTGACCAGAGAGAGACAGAAAGAGAAAGCAAATTGCCAGGTTCAGGACTCAAACTGTGGTTGACCATGTGGGAATCCAGCGCCTTAATCACCACGCCACCTGCTGGCCCCTATTTAATCTTATTTATTATTGTTATTTTTAAAATTTGACCAGAGAGAGGAAGAGTGAAAGAGAGAAATAGAAAGTGAGAAAGCAAGGTCTGGGACTCGAACTGTGGTTGGCCATGTGGGAGTCTAGCACCTTAGCCACCTACTGGTTCCCAAATGCTCTTTTAATAATGTATGATCTCATTAAGTGATATATATTAGTGGGATGAAGGAGCTCAAGAAAGACTGTGAGTTATATAGTTCCTAACCTTTTTTTTTTTTTTTTTTTAAGTACAGTGTTTTATGTGACAGGATAATTTTTAAAAAGATTTAGAATAATAAAGTTAAGAAAGGAACTTTGCTGTTGTCTGTTATTGTGGTTTACAACTCGGAACTTTCTTTATCCAAAGAAACTGTTAAAAATAAGGGCAAATAAGACATGCGAAGCTGACCTGTTCTGTTATAAACGGATGGTGAAGCCATGTGCTCGTGTCTCCACTCCTGGAGCCTGAGAGCCTGGGTTGAAAGATCGATGATCTTCTTCATGCTGCACATTGATCCCAAGGGAGGGAGCTGGCCCAGGGGGAGACGTGATTTGCCAGGGGTCATTGGCGTGGGTAGTCTAGGACTGTTACTTTTCTCCCTAGTGCTTTCACTACTTGCCGGCACTACCTCTGAAGTTGTGATTAATGTAATGTTCTTTAGGAGACCTCCGATTATCCTGAAGAAATCCTTAAGGGCGAGTTGGCACGGATCATCTACAAAAATTCTATAAACATTATTAAAGGTAGGTATCTTTCGAACATTTATTTGTGATAGGAAAGTAGAGCATTTTATTTACAGCGAAGAAGGTCTTTAGTTAATTTTGAGATTTTTTGCTAGAATACAGATACAACTCAGTAGGAATAATAGCTTTTATAAAATTTTTATTTAATTTTATTGTCATTATTTTATTTTATTTTTTTTAGTTGATCAGAGAGAGGGCTGGCAGGTGGCATGGTGGTTAAGGGCACTGGACTTCCATATGGCTGACCGACGTTTGAGTCCTGGACCTGGTGACTTTCTCTCTCTCCTCTTGCTCTCTCCCTGTTCCTCTCTGGTCAAATTAAAGTGAATAAATAAATAAAGTTAAAAAAAATGATTAAAAAAAAAAATTTGACCAGAGAGAGACAGGAACATGAGAAAGCAAGCTGCCAGGTCCAGGACTCAAACTGCAGTCAACCATCTGGGAGTCCAGCCACCTTAACCACCATGCAATCTGCTAGACATAACTTTATTTTTAGATTATTTAATTTTATTTATTCATTCTTTAATTTGACTAGAGAAAGACACACACACACACACACACACACACAGAGAGAGAGAGAGAGAGAGAGAGAGAGAGAGAGAGAGAGAAAGAGAGAAACCAAGCCCAACAGGCCCAGGACTCGAACCGTGGTTGGCCATGTGGGAGTGTCCAGCACCTTAACCACCATGCTTACCTGCTGGTCCTGATAGCTTATTTATTTATTTATTTTTTAAAAGAATTGCTTATTTAATTTAATTTACTATTACTATTTTTAAATTTGACCAGAGAGGGACAGACTGAGAGAAAACAAGAGAGAATTAAGTGAGAGAGCAAGCTGTCAGATCCAAAACTCGAACCATGGTTGACCATGTGGGACTCCAGCGACCTTAACCACTAAGCTACTTGCTGGTCCCTGTAATTGAAATTTAATTAAGTTTTTTTTTTTTGGAGAGGTTTTTTTTTGCTATAGGGCACGTGCGCTCGCCAGATAGACAGAGAGACAGAGAGATAGAAAGTGAGAAATCACCCCCCGGGGGGATGGTCATGCCTCAATCCCTTCTCCTCCCTTCTCCTCCATTCTCCTCTCGGGATCTTGGGCATGCACGCACACGCGCCCAGCTTGAGTTTTAAGCCACCAGGTTCGGGATGCGAACTGCGGTCGACTACGTGGGAGTCCAGCGACATAGCCATTATGCTAACTGCTGGTTCCCTGAAATTTAAATAAGTTTTTATTGAACACTTAGCTCAGGTGGGTAATTAAAAAGAAATAGATGAAGGCTGGCAAGTGGTGTGGTGGTTAAAGGTGCTATATTCCCACATGGCCTACCGTGGTTCAAATCCTGGATCTGATGGCTTCCTTTCTCAACTTCCCTCTCTCTCTGTTTCTCTCTGGTCAGATTGGAAAATAATAATAATAATAAAGTTAAAATAAGTCTAAAAAGCAAAAAGAAAAGAAATAGATGATTTAGTCCATTTCTTTATCCCCTTAAAAGTTTAGAATAAAAGTTAGAAATACTTATGCATATTTCAAAGTATTAATAGTTGTTTTGCATGTGTAGGAGACTATGGGGTGATTTTCGATTTTGTACTATTTCTCAAATTTTGCATGTGTAGGAGACTATGGGGTGATTTTTTATTTTGTACTATCTCTCAAAATTAAAAAACACAAGCAAAAATGTAAGTAGTACTCAAAGCAAACGTTACTTAAAGAGTGATTCTGTAGTATTAGTGGAAGTGAGCCTCGCCTCCCCTGATTTTTCATTTTAGGTGCAGAATTTCATGTGTCACTGCTTTCGATCGCACAGCTATTTGACTTTGCCAAAGATCTACAAAAAGAAATTTATGATGAGTAAGTGAAAGTGTGGAGAGGGGAATATTTTTATTCCTGATCTAATGATAAGGGTTTAAGTTGGGGTATGGAGAAAGGGGAAAAGAAGAGACCACATTAAATCTTTGGAAAAAAAGCTAAGCTTTAGGATCCCGGCATTGTACTATGAAAAAGAAGTATGCTCCTAGAGATGTCCTTTGATTTGTTTATTGGTTCCTTTGGAAAATATTTTATCTTTCTTCAGTAATAAATCTATTCTAAGGCTTATATGAACACCTATCTCCTGTTCTTCTGGTGTGTCCCTTGTCCATAAAAGCAGCGATGTCCTCATAAGTGTTTACAGTTAAGTGCTGCAGGTGCTTTACACTTCGGTGTCGTTATATGGCTTACAGACTATTTGTAGCCTACCTCCTGCATACTTCCATTCCTAGGGAGCGCTAAATACTTGTGCAGGAAATAAAGCAGAACTTGGCTTAGTTGTTCTTTAGCTATTTTCTGGGTTTTGCTGGAGTATGGGTTGCTTTTTTTTCTCTGCCTCTATTTTAGAAAATGAAGAGCCTGCATATAATAAGGTTCTCCAGGGCTCATGGAGGCTTGTGTTGTCACAGGTAATCACTTACTTGACTTTGAAAGCCAAGCTGAAAGGTAACAGCTGTGAGTGATACCGGAAACATTCTACCACTTAGTTTTTGGCAGTTCTGATTCATTGACACCATTTTTCTTTTGGGAAATGGCTCGGTGGTATTGTAATTGTTGAAGGGAGTGTTCTGTGGTCATCTTTAGAGCTTAGGGAACTGTTTCTGTTTGAAATTCTGGGTTAGTCTCTTGTAGGATAGGTATCAATAAGCTGTATTTTTCAGCCTTCAGGCTCTACATACAGATGACCCTCTCACGTGGGATTATGTGGCGCGGCGAGAATTAGAGATCCAGCCAGAGCCAGGAGAAGAGCAGCCTGCTGTGAAACAATCCAAAGCAGTGGAGGTGGGCCGGAAGGAGGAGAGGTGCTGTGCTGTGTATGAAGAGGCCGTGAAGGCTCTGCCTACAGGTGAACTTCACCAAACCACAGTGTGGTGTAGATAGAAGGGTATCCCTGCTTATGGAGTACAATCTCCCTTCCCCATCACTAGAATCAGTATCAGGAATTTCTGTAGTACAGTTTACTATGTACCTAGCTTCCCAACTTGCTTGCTTTCTGATGGTGAGAGATGGAACTTTTTTTTCTAATATCAGTTTTTATTATTTATTTTTTGGAGAGTTTTTTTTTGCTCTAGGGCACATGAGTTCGCCAGAAAGACAGAGAGAGACAGAGAGAAAGTGAGAAATCACCCCCCAGCGGGGACGGCCACACCACAATCCCTTCTCTTCCATTCTCCTCTCGGAATCTTGGGCACACACGCACACGTGCCTGGCATGAGTTTAAACCACCGGGTCCGGGACTTGAACTGCGGTTGACTACATGGGAGTCCAGTGTAATAGCCATTACACCAATTGCTTGTCCCAAGAGAGATGGAGCTTTTATAAACTTCTTTGATAGTGGTATTTATGTTAATTGGTTTGTGTCAATGGTAATCCAGAAGATTCTTTTATTTTTAATTGTTTTGGAGGCACTTACACTCAGAGACAGAAAGCCAGAGGAGAAAGTACCCTCCCGTGGGGTTACGCTCCAATCCCTTCGCCTCCATTTCTTTGTCCTGTCTGGATTTGGAGAATACACACACATGTGCCCAGCATGTTTTTCAAGGTGTCAAAGCCAGAACTTGGACTGCAGCTGCCTGGGTGGGATCCAGCTCCCTTAAATACTAGGGCTATGGGGCTAGCCCCAGTATTTTTTTTCTTTTAGATTTTGCTATAGCATGTGCACTCACCAGAGACAGAAGGGAATGTGAGAAATCACCCATCAATAGGGATGGCCATGCTGTGGTCTCTTCTCTATTCTCTCGGGATTTTGGGCATGCATGCACACATGCCAGGCATGATTTTGAAGCCACCAGGTCTGGGACTCAAGTCAGACATGTGGGATCCAGTGCCTTAACCTCCAGGTACCTGTTCGCCCCCCTGAAGATTTCTTTAATTTCTTTTTTTTTTTTTTTGAGAGTTCTTTTTTTGCTATAGGGCACGTGCAGTTACCAGAAAGACAGAGACAGAGAGACAGAAAGTGAGAAATCACTCCCCAGGTGGGATGGCCATGCTGCAATCCCTTCTCCTCCATTCTCCTCTTGGGGTCTTGGGCACGCATGCACACGCGCCCGGCGTGAGTTTAAGCCACTGGGTCCAGGACTCGAACTGTGGTTGACCACATGGGAGTCCAGCTTCATAGCCATTACACCAGCTGCTGGTCTCTTAACTATCATTTCTTAACTACCTTTGGTAAGCATTTACTTTTTATTTTGTAATATTGAAGAATAAAAACAAAGGGATAAGGTTTTTAATTTTTATATTTATGTCATTCAATTGTTTTTCCCAAGTTTTTGTGTGTGGTTTTTTCTTTTTAATGTTTACTTAATTTTATTTGTTGTTATTATTTTAATTTGACCAGAGAGAGAGGAAGGGAAGGTGAGAAAGCAAGCTGCCAGGTCTGGGACTCGAATCACAGTTGGCCATATGGGAGTCCAGTGCCCTACCACCATGCCACCTGCCAGCCCCAAGTTTTCTTTTTTAAAAAATTGCTAGAGGGTGTGTGTGTGTGTGTGTGTGTGTGCATGCTTACACATGTAAGAAGAAAAAAGAGAAAGAACCCCTGCATGGGGGTGTGGTCGTGCTGTATTTCTTTTTCCTTCCTTTCTCCTTTCCATCAGGATTTTGGACACGTATACATATTTGTCTAGCATGTGTTTCTTTTTTCTTTCTTTCTTTTTTCTTTTTTTGTTTTTTAGGATAGGTTTTTCGCTATAGAGTGCGTGCGCTCGCCAGACAGACAGAGAGAGACAGAGAGACAGAGCGAGAAATCATCCCCCAGGGGGATTGGCCACGCCACAATCCCTTCTCTTCCATTCTTCTCTCGGGATCTTGGGCACGCACGCACATGCACCCAGCGTGAGTTTTAAGCCACTGGGTCTGGGACTCGAACCGCGGTTGACTACGTGGGAGTCCAGCGACATAGCCATTATGCCAATTGCAGGTCCCTCTGTTTGTTATGTGCAACCCATTTTCTGGGACCCCTCTCTTCTTAGAGGTCTGTGTTTCCTTCCCTCTCCTTTAATAAACTCTACACTTTGTTAATAAATTCCCCACTTTGCTAATAAACTCCCTGCTTTGCTATACCTATAAACAAAAAAAACGTTTGTTACATGGCACATACACTCACCAGAGGGCAAGGAAGGGAGTGAGAAAGCATCCCCTACGGGGGATGACCATGCTGCAATCCCTTTTCCATTCTTCCCTTTGGAGTTTGGGCACACACGCGCACCCTGCATTTTTCGAACTGCCGGATTCAGAACTTGAACTGGGTAGTAGCCCATATGGGATCCAGTGCTTTAACCACCATGCCATCTGCCGGCTCCTTATCCAGCGTGTTTTTCAAGGTGCTGTGGCTGGGATTCAAACTGCGGTTGGCCATATGGGAACTGGCTTTCTGTGCACAGCCCTTAAGTGCTGGGGGCATGGAGCCAGCCCTGAGATATGTGATCAGCTGTACTCAGAATAATACTCTTTTTTTTCTTTTTTTTTTTTGAAGAGGTTTTTGCTGTAGGGCGTGTGCGCTTGCCAGACAGAGACAGACATTTTCTTTTTTTGTTTTTTAGGATAGGTTTTTCGCTATAGAGTGCGTGCGCTCGTCAGACAGACAGAGAGACAGAGAGACAGAGCGAGAAATCATCCCCCAGGGGGATTGGCCACGCCACAATCCCTTCTCTTCCATTCTTCTCTCGGGATCTTGGGCACGCACGCACATGCACCCAGCGTGAGTTTTAAGCCACTGGGTCTGGGACTCGAACCGCGGTTGACTACGTGGGAGTCCAGCGACATAGCCATTATGCCAATTGCAGGTCCCTCTGTTTGTTATGTGCAACCCATTTTCTGGGACCCCTCTCTTCTTAGAGGTCTGTGTTTCCTTCCCTCTCCTTTAATAAACTCTACACTTTGTTAATAAATTCCCCACTTTGCTAATAAACTCCCTGCTTTGCTATACCTATAAACAAAAAAAACGTTTGTTACATGGCACATACACTCACCAGAGGGCAAGGAAGGGAGTGAGAAAGCATCCCCTACGGGGGATGACCATGCTGCAATCCCTTTTCCATTCTTCCCTTTGGAGTTTGGGCACACACGCGCACCCTGCATTTTTCGAACTGCCGGATTCAGAACTTGAACTGGGTAGTAGCCCATATGGGATCCAGTGCTTTAACCACCATGCCATCTGCCGGCTCCTTATCCAGCGTGTTTTTCAAGGTGCTGTGGCTGGGATTCAAACTGCGGTTGGCCATATGGGAACTGGCTTTCTGTGCACAGCCCTTAAGTGCTGGGGGCATGGAGCCAGCCCTGAGATATGTGATCAGCTGTACTCAGAATAATACTCTTTTTTTTCTTTTTTTTTTTTGAAGAGGTTTTTGCTGTAGGGCGTGTGCGCTTGCCAGACAGAGACAGACAGAGAGACAGAAAGCGAGAAATCACCCCCCAGGGGGGATGACCACGCCGCAATCCCTTCTCCTCCATTTTCCTCTCGGGATCTTGGGCACGCATGCACATGTGCCCGGTGTGAGTTTTAAGCCACTGGGTCTGGGACGCGAACCACGGTGGACTATGTGGGAGTCCAGCGACATAGCCATTACGCTAACTGCTGATCCCAGAATAATACTCTTTCTTACCAGGCTAATTTAAACTCTTCAGAGATGTTTTCCCTTTGAATGAAAAATGCATGATAATTATTAAACTAAGAATTGGTGCTCTTGTCAATGTAATCTTTCTGACTTTTCCAGAGGCCATGTGGAAGTGTTACATCAACTTTTGTTTGGAAAGATTTACCAAGAAGACAAGTAGCACGCTCCTCAAAGGGAAGGTGAGGACTTAGGTTGCATGGTCACAGTGTCCGACTGGAAAGTGACTCATCTTCTGAAAGAACAGAAGCATTGCCCTTTTGATGTCTGGGCCACCTTGCAAGAACTTCATGGTGAACCACCCTCTTACTGTCCTATGGGTAACCTGTCATTCTAGAGATCCGAGTCTCGGTTAATGTAATACTGGCCACCAGGTTCGGAGGGGCTCTCTCCTTTCTGGGCTATACTTGGCTCAGTGGCCCAGCTCGTCTAATCACAAGTGAAACCACCATGCAAAAGTAACTTAGTCCATTTTCTGAATTCTCAGAAATATGCAAAACTGCTTTTGTTTAAGTTAGAGGCCTGAGGCCTCTGCAGGGATCTTTGTAATAAACCATGTGATTTTTCTGTTTCCAGAGGCTTCAGAGAACCATGACTGCTTTCAGGAAGGCACATGAACTCAGGCTGTTGCCAGAATTCCAGTGCAAGCAGTGGGTAAGGATGCAGAGGACACACTCACTGCCAGTTACGTACTTTGGATTCCAGTTCAGGCCAGTGTTGTGGGCTTTGAACTATGCAGTTACATGACAGAGGCTATAGCGTACAGTGGTTGGTGCTGTCACTCAGCAAGCCAAGGCCATCTGGGAAGCCTGCCTTTCATTTCTGGCCCCTGAAGCCAGGTGTGGTGGTTCCTGTCTGTGGACCTAGCTATTCAGGAGGCTGAGGCAGGAGGATTGTGACATAGAGAGATCCTATCTTAAAGACTTTCACTATAAATTCTTCATGCTTTTTTCTTTTCATCTCTTCCTTGTTTTTGTGAGCCCTCTTGCATAAGAGCAGGAGAAGGAAGACGAGTTCCTAATTGTTTACTTCATGCCTCTTAGCTGCTATAATAAAAGGTTTAGTGGAAAGGCTGTTAAATTATTGCCTTAAATGAAGACTTATTTGTCCTCATTTACACAATTAATTTGGATTTTAACAATTACTTTTCTAATGATTCTGTTTATCTAGATTGAGTTGTTGCTGCACCATAAGTTTTTAAAGGAAGCACTGGAGGTGGCAGTAGCCGGGACTGAATTGTTTAGAGACTCTGGGACAATGTGGCAGATGAAGCTGAAGGTGCTGATTAACTCAAAGAGTCCTGACATAGCCATGGTTTTTGAAGAAGCCTTCGCACACCTAAAATCCCAGGTCTGTGAGTTGGGGGCCTTTTGTATTTTCTTCTTCTTTTCTTTTCTTTTTTTTTTTTCATTTTAATTTCCCGGAGGGAACCTGTGCTCATCAGAGACAGAACAGTGAGAAAACATCCCTCATGGTGAATGAGCATGCCTCTGCAATCCCTTTTCCTCCCTTTCTCCTCCTTTCAGGATTTCGGGCTGGTGTCCACATGCTCCAGGCGTGTTTCTCAAGCTGCCAGGTCTAGTCGGACGTAGCCAACTATATGGGATCCTTCGCCTTAATGCCCATGCCATGAGATGTACTTCAGGTTCATTCTGTTATAAGATTACATTCCTGAGGCTGGCAGGTGGCATGGCCATTATGGGTGCTGGACTCCCACGTGGCTGACTACGGTTCAAGTCTTGGAACTGGCAGCTTGCTTTTTTACTTTCCATCTCTCTCTTTGTCCCTCTCTGGATAAATTAAAATAAATAAATAATAAAAGTTAAATAAAATAATTCTGAAAAAAAGAAAAGATTACATTTCTTTTAAGACTTCAGCTAGGAGCCAGTGGGTACCATGGTGATTAAGGCACTGGATTTCACATGGCTGACCATGGTTCAAGTCCAAGACCTGGTGGTTTGCTTTCTCACTTTCCCTCTTTGTCTCTGGTCAAATTAAAAAATAAGTAAGTAAATAAATTAAAAAAACCCAAAATAATTACTAAAAAAAAAAGACTTTAGGTAAAGCTCATTTGAATGAGTTGATATTTGCCTGATAAGAAGTGACCCTAAAGTGGCATTCATTATTAAGTAATGATGACTAAAGGGTCAGGATTAGAAGAATTTATGTCCATCCATTAGCCTAGTAAAACACTTATTTCATTTTAGTTTTTGCTATAGGGCATATACGCTTGCTAGAGAGAGAGTAAATGTGAGAAATCACCCTCCAGTGGGGATGACCACACTGCATTCCCTTCTCTGTTCTCCCCTCATTGTTTTGGGCATCCACACACACGCCTGAAATATTTTCCAATCCACTGGGTCTGGGACTCGACTACACTGTTGGCCATGTGGCATCCAGCCACCCCAACCACTACCCACAGCCTGTCCCATTGTTTTACCCTGCACCTCTATGAGGCCATTTTAAAAAATAGCCTATTTCTGGGCCAGCATATGATGTGGAAGTAAAGGCGGGGGATTCCACATGGCCAACTGTATGGTTCAAATTCTGGTCCTGACAGCTTGAAAATTAAGTAGGGTGCGTGTGTGCGCCTGCCCAAAGTGTTGAGAAGAGACCAGAGGAGAAGGGATTGTTCTGTGGCCATTCCCCCAGGAGGTAATTTCTTATTCTCTTTCTCATAATGCACATGCCCTATAGCAAAAAATTTAAAGCCTGTTTCTGATATATGAAAATCGGCTAAATTATGTAAGTTTTCATATTCTATTTCGATATCTCACAAGTGAGAAGTACTAATAGAATATAATTTACCCATGGATTCAAAGATGAACAACTTTTATTTTTTCAATTTTTATTTTTTGGAGAGGTTTTTGCTATGGGGCGTGTGTGCTCACCAGAAGGACAGACAGAGAGACAGAAAGTGAGAAATCACCCCCCAGAGGGTTGCCACACCGCAGTCCCTTCTCCTCCATTCTCCTCTCAGGATCTTAGGCACGCGTGCACATATGCCCGGCTTGCGTTTAAACCACTGGGTCTGGGACTCGAACTGCAGGTGACTACATGGAAATCCGCAACGTAGCCATTAGGCCATCTGCTGGCCCCTATTTTTTTTTTTTTTAAAGAATTATGTATTTATTTAATTCCACTTGTTGTTGTTATTTTTCAATTTGACCGGATAGAGACAGAGAGAAAGGGAAAGCGAGAAAGCAAGCCACTAGGTCCATGACTTGAACCACGGTCTGCCTTTAACCACCATACCAGAGGGCATGTATGCTTGCCAGAGACAGACAGAGAGACTGAGCGTATCCCCCACCGATGGGGCATGTCATGCTGTAATCTCATCTCTTCCATTTCTCTGCTCTGTTGTGATTTTGCATAGGTATGCACACATGCTTGGTGTGTCTTTCAAGCCATCAGGGCTGGGATTCAAACTGCAGTTGACCATGTGGTATATAACTGCCTTAACCACTAGGCTTTGGGGCTGGCTCTAAACCTTAAAGGTCTGAATCTTTTTTTTTTTATTCATTCATTTTTAATTTGACCAGAAAGAAAGACAGAGAGAGATAGAGAGAGAGAGAGATAGAGAGAGAGAAAGAGAGAGAGAAAAGCGAGAAAGCAGGTCCAGGACCTGAATGGTCAGCCATGTGGGAGTGTCCAGTGTCTTAACCACCATACCACCTGCTGATCCCAAAGGTCTGAATCTTAAGGCTTTGTAGTAAATATTTCTATATCAGTAGGGAAAAAAGTATTCCAGAAAGTAAAGTGAGAAAAAAACTATTTTGGGGCTGACAAGTGGCATGGTGGTTAGGGTGCTGGACTCTCACATGGCTGACCATGGCTTGCTTTCTCATTTTCCCTTGCTTTCTTGGTCAGATTAAAATAATAAATAAATAAAGTTAAATAAAATAATTTTTTAATTTAACTTAATTTATTTACTCATTTATTTTATTTCATTTTGACCAGAGAGGGACAGAGCAAGAGAGAGAGAAAGTGAGAAAGCAAGCCACCAGGTCCAGGACTCGAACCATGGTCGACCATGTGGGAGTCCAGTGCCCCTAACCTCCACGCCACCTACTGGCCCCAATAAAATATTTTTTTAAAAAGAAACAAAAGAAAACTTGCATTGCTCAGTGTAAGTGTGTCTGGGACAGGAGTGAAAATCAGGTAGTTCATCTTGCATTAGTTACTTCTTACCTTGTCAGTCCTAGAGCACAAAGACATCTTCTGGGTAGCCATGGGCCTAGCTAGCTATGGGCTGTTAATTGCTCAGTTTACTAAGAGATGATTGGTGGTGATTACTTTTTTTAAGAATTGTTTTGTTTATTTATTTATTATTTATTTATTTATTTTTACATTTTTAAAATACATTCAATCACATTATTTAGCATACAAGGTGGTCATTTCAATATGAAGAATTATTTTATTTAACTTTATTTATTTTTAATTTGATAGAGTGGGACAGGGTGAGAGAGAGAGAAAGCCACCAGGTCTGGGACTCAAACTGCAGTTGGCCATGTGAGAGTCCAGTATCCTTAATCACCATGCCACCTGCCAGCTCCAGTGATGATTCCTACAGGCAGTATTCCCCAGTAGAGGAGAACTAAAATGAACAAGGTCATGTTATTAGCTCTGGGTGACTTGGTCAGAAGGCTATCTGTTCTGACATGCCATTTCTTGCTGGGAGGTGAGAATTCAGCCATAATGAGGACAGACTGGGCGTGAATCCATATTTTACGTACTATTTTAGGAGGAACCTGTCTTTATGGTGATGAGTTTTCAGAGCATGGTGCTAAACTGTCTTCTAACATTTTTCCTGTTGTGAGCAGGATTGTCTACCGTTGTGGATTTCTTGGGCAGAGTGGAGTGAAGGTGTCCAAACCCCAGAAGACACTGAAGCAATCTTTAAGGTATAGGCGCCACATCTCAAGTCTCATTTTGTGGAGAATGGGTAAATAGATTCACTGGTTGGCTAGCCATGGGGTTATTTCATTAGCAGTTGCTTTTAGATTAAGCACTATTGATGGCCTGGGGAGTGGTTCTAGGAAAATTTATTCTTATGGAGCTTGTTTCTTTTTTCTTTTATATTGCAGAAAGCTCTTTTAGCTGTCATTGGTGCCAACTCAGTAACTCTGAAGGAAAAGTACCTAGATTGGGCTTATCGAAGTGGTGGCTGCAAAAAGGCCAGAGCTGTGTTTAAAAGGTACTTACAGATAGGCATAGCTGTGTCTAGTCTCTCTATGCTGTTCTCAGCCCCCTTTGCCCAGGGTATATGAATCACAGGTAATTTCTAAGAAGTAATCCAACATACATTTTCAAATAGTAATGTTTTTTTCTTTTTTTTTTTGAGAGAGAATTTTTCTATGGGACATATGTGTTCGCCAGAGAGACAGAGAAACAGAAAGTGAGAAATCACCCCCT